CAGGAAACACCCTGCAAATAGCCACTTGTTTCTAGGATGCTGGAGGATCATGCAAAACACCTGTCCTACAGCACAACCCCTCCGGGCTGATGGGAACTGAACCTGCTGCTGAAGGCGATTAAGCAAACAGGATAACACCCACATTGACACTTTGCTGGGATAATTTACCTTTTAACATTTTAATGCTACTGCTGACAATAGGCAAATCAAGAATCCACTGAAACAGCAAGTGGCTGCACAGGTATCCCCAACAGGCTGTTACCAGCAGTGAAGTGTATTTGTCTCCAACTGCAGGAGACAATTTGAGCTCACTTAGAGGACAGTGGTTCCCAGGCATTTGTTACTCACAGTAGAAGCTATGGAAATAGCTCTCTCTAACACACACCTGGGGCACCTCCGAGTCATTTCCACACCCAACTTTGTGTATTTCGGAATGCAGAGAATGTGGGTTATGCTGCAGGTACATAGCAACACTTCCCTTGGTACCTCAGGTGGAGACAGTGATGGATTCAGCTCAATTCCACAATACCCTGCAGAGCACAACACTGCTAAAGCCACTCCTGCAAGGCATGGGGTGCAGGCACACCACCCTTGTCTTTCCCCTTTATGGTCATTAGGCTCTTATTTTCCTTTTTGAAGGTAAATAGGTTAAACGTGCAGGTACATAGCAACACTTCCCTTGGTACCTCAGGTGGAGACAGTGATGGATTCAGCTCAATTCCACAATACCCTGCAGAGCACAACACTGCTAAAGCCACTCCTGCAAGGCATGGGGTGCAGGCACACCACCCTTGTCTTTCCCCTTTATGGTCATTAGGCTCTTATTTTCCTTTTTGAAGGTAAATAGGTTAAACGTTTTCTTTTCTTATTTTCCTTTTTGAAGGTAAATAGGCTGAACATGCTCTTTTCTTTTGTATTGTATTTTCCTTCTTTATGTAACTACTCCTCTGCACATTACACTGGACAGCTTAACTCACTGATGTCACCTCTGCACCTTCAGCTTTCACAATGAAACACTAAAAGGAGTCAGCAGCTCAAATCACTCTCCCTGCATTCCCCCCAGGAAGGTCTGGTTAAAAACAAAACGATGAACAGTCCTGTAGGGAGTTCAGGAAGATTAATCAGCTCAAAACTTCCCAGGCAAAAATCCTGATGTACCTTCAGTCTTCAGGAATCATCTTCCAGAAGTGTCTTCTCTGTCATTTAGTGAGTTTGTATTATGCACTTAATATATTCTTAAGTGACAGTTTTGCACATAGCACGTGTTAAATACAGTGATGCATTTTGACACTTCCTAAATTGGTGTTAGAATTTCTTGGTGCATTCAGGAGGGAATTCTGTTACTGAATTCCTTAGCAGTTTGTGGGTTATCAGTGCAGGTATCCACAGCTTTGTCCTGACAGAGATGTAGTAATATTTGTTCTTAATTTCAGAAGCAATTTTAGATCATACCATAGCTCATAAGAAGCTGTTTCATTTCAAAGGGAGAGCCTCTTTCAAATGCCAGCCTCTTTTCCCAGACAACTAGCAACTAGAAGTGATCTTAAGCTGCACCAGAGGTTTAGGTTGGACACTGAGGAGGAATATCTTCACAGAAAGGGTGATTAGATGTGGGATGGACTGTCCAGGGAGGTGGTGGAATTACCATCCTTGGAGGTGTTTAAGGGAAGACTAAACATGGCACTTAGTGCTATGGTCTAGTTGGTATGGTGGTGTTAGGTCATAGGTTGGACTTGATGATCTCAGTGGACTCTTCCAACCTAATTGATTATGTGATTCATTTTGAATAACAAGTGGAGAATGTAAATGCATCTCTGTTTCCTCTGCTCCAAGCAGGCCTGAATGACAGCAATCTGCTTGAGTTCTTCAATTTCCTTCTGCTCCCAGAAAGCATTGCTGCCTCAAACCTGACCTCAGCTTACTCTGGAATGCAACCATTAAAAAACCCCCAAACCTTGATAAATTGAATGCAGGAATAATCTTACATATCTAACTCCCAGTCACAGCTGAGAATAACATGTAGACACAGCTAAAGGAAGAGGGTTGGGTTTGTTGGTGAGGTTGTGGCATTTGTTTTTCAGGTCTTCTTTTGAAAAGCAGGTGAATACTGAGACAGAGATCAGTGCTCTGGAAACAAAAGAGCTGTTTTGAGCACAAAAAGGAACCATCTCCTTTCAAAGAAACAATGCCTATGCTATGCCCTATGCCATGGGAGAATTCTTTCAAGTACACCACTTATTGTATCCAAGGCAGAGAGGGTGGAAGCTGATGTTAAAAAAAGAAAAGCAAACAAAAAAAAGGCATTAAAACCAGCTATTATTGGCATGTTCATGAACTGCAGAGTACAAACCTTCAGAGAAGTCAAAACAATCCCAGACTGCAGGTTCAAAGTCTGATACACGGTGGCTTTAATCAACTTTTAACATTTCCATAAGCATCAACTATGGCTTTTCTACTTCTGTTCTTCTGTTTGGTTTGGAATTTTTTTGTTTGCATGTTTCTTTCTATCATGAAAAGTCTTGTGAAGACTAAAACTTAAATATCCATATTTGTGTGTGGGAAAAGCTTGCATTAACTAACATGGGCCTAAGAGGTTAGAGACATCAAGTGGTCACGACTTACACACGAGAAAACAGGTCATGAAACCTATGAAATGAAAAGTATTCTATGGAGACAATTTAAGAAACAGGTGTAGAGGTAATAAACAGAATAAATGCACAAATTCAAAGATTTTTCTTCTCTTTATTTAAACACAAATACATTTACAGCATGCAGGCAAGTTAAAACTATACGGCGTCTTCCCCAAACCAATTGTTTTAATGCATCTTAAGTGTACTGAAGTTAAATCAATATTCCACAGGTAGACTTGTCCTCATGTCAAATTTAGAGTTACACACAGTAGTGAGTCAGCATTTAAGTTATGTAAATAATTTAGTTGTTCACCAGAAATAAATATTATTTCACCAAGTTCCTATCCTAAACCATCTTTTAAAAATATGATCTAGAGGAACATAAAAATAAGAACCATTCAAAGACTGCAAGTTGAAATAGCAGTGCTGAACATTCCCTGTATAGACTGAGTATTTTAATTTACAAAATACAGTAACTGTCCTGTCTGGCTGACCTGACAGCCAAACCAGAGAGCAAAGTTGTCTGTTGTTTTTTTTTTTTTTACTTTTTACATTTTAAGAGGCAGTTCTTGGTAAACTTCAGAAAAGATTTAAAATAAAAAAAAAAAGTTTAAATATAAAAAGGTGATGTACACTGAGCTACACACTAGTTACTATTTAATCTAATTTTTTTAACACAGCAATTTTCAGCACCAAAACCCATGAGAATTACCTACAGGAATGAAACCCCCATTCACAGGCATGAGAAAAAAATCCTGCTTCATTTGAGTGTGTTGTTTTGCTTTCATGATTGCACATTGACAAATGAAGGTCTGAAAACCTGTAGTTAACATTGAGCAAGATAATGGACAGTGCTGTTTCCATTATGAGAAAATGAATTCAAAATGGTTTTTGTTCCTGTATTTTTCTTTCCTCAGTATGTTGTCTGTAACCGTGCTCTAAAACAACTGCAAGTTTGGAGTGTTTGGCAGCCTTAATGAACAAAATTGTCTTAGAAGCTGAAAACTCCAAAAGAGTGAGATTTCCAACTGCTGCAGTCAACTCTTAAAAATCAAACTATTAAAAATTCAGACTACTGTAGATATAGAAAAAAGTGGTTCAAGGTCTAAAATCTGACTATACTCCATCATAATATAAATATCTTGCCTATTTAAAATATAAAAGTTGGAAGTGATTTGCTGTCTGAACAGTCACTGAGTTTCTACTGTTTTCACAATAACTGATGAATACCCAGCAAAAACTTCAAACCAGCACACAAAGTGGTACCAACTGGGCCTGGAAAGCTCACTGAATTCTTCCAGTAATATTAAGTTCCTTCTCTCTCAAAGACCTGGTAACTAGTTTCTATCCAGAAGAAGGCTGTTCTAAAAATTATAGTGGCTAAACCCTATGAATAAGTTAAGCAAATTATACTAGAAAGTTTTAAACCCCATATTCAGCTCAGTGGGAGTACTGGAGCTCAAATAGAACCCAAAAAACCAAAAACCCCAAATTTCATTTTATCAGCCACTTTACAGGACTTTATTGCAAAGAAAAATATTCAACAACTACTACTTTGGACATTTCATATACCTACTTACAAATGGATTACAAATACAACTCAGGGCAGCACTTTATTTTATTATTATTTTAAACACATGTCTCTGGAAATTCCAGATACATCAATTTAAAAAAGTTGTATCCTTGATTTCCATATCTGAATTCATTGGCCAGATGCTGAAAAAGGTGGGGGTTTTTTAATTGAAAGTTAAATTTCAGCCAAAAATTCCAGTCCTGTATAGACAGTGGAATATAAAGTTACATTTTAGACTGTGCTCACTCTGCTGTTACAGACCAGCCAAAGTGAACTGTCACAGACACAGACAAATGGACAGAGAGGCTCATCAGAATGAAGCAGAATGTTTTCACTCCACCAGACTGTACTGTGTGTAGAATCAGGAACAGGACAGATGGGATAATCCATTGCCAAAGTCCTTTTTGTAAACTGAGGTTTACCCTTATTACTGTACAATATTTAGTTCTGAGTCGCCCGGTAAGGAGCTCTGGATCAGGTAACAGTGACACAGCCTTGTCCGTAGCCAACGTTCGCTTCGGTGGCGCAGCCATCCCAGTGCCTCGGGGCAGCTGTCTAAGCACTTCAGTGTTCTTACACTGTACAAAGAGATTTAGTTCCAATGCTCTATGCAGCATTCCAAAAGAAAAGTGTGATGTAGAGTGCCGTCCTAATTCAGTGGGACATGTAGTGTTACGTGAAGTGCTAGAAATGAAAGTATACTTAAACACTGTTGCACATTCCCTAAGACAAGAAGATGGACACAAATTAAGCTAGAAAATTGGAACTAAGATTTTTCTCAACGTACATTCAGCTTGGCACAGTGCAGACTAAATTTAAGACATGAAAGACAAACTGTGTAATGAGCAGAGCTACACTTTAACATGTCATTTTTCAAGACGCCAAAATTGCACTCTAGTTTTGTTTTTGGGAATCAGTTAGCAGAATTTGTAGAAGGGGGAAGAGCTGTACAGGCCAGGTATAATTTATACATTTTCAAAAAATAATCCTACAGTCCCCAAAGGGAGAGATTATTGTCATGGAATGACTCCCTCTACACAATATCCAATCTTCCTCACGCTGCATTTACCTTTCAGCAACTGTAAATGAGAAAAACAACAGAGTTAAGCCACAAAAGCAAAGTCAGTTAGATTTACAGTAAACCATATCACTACTGACACAGCCTGTAAGAGCCTAATTCTTACACCACTCAGTAAGTGCTGATTAAACATCTACTTAAAAATAAGAAATTACACAACACAAAGCATTTAAGCATTGCTGTCTGTTACCAGCAAATTTCCAGGAACTGACTGGGTGTGCAATCTTGACTGCACTAAGGGAGTAAACATTACAGACATAGAGAACTTATAACCCAGCTCCATTCTCCACAACTGTTGCTGCTTTTCCATGCTAGTGACAACTCCATGGATACCACCTATCAACTGCTGCAAAGTTTTGACTTCACTATTTTGGGAGGATGGAATGGGAATTAAGAGATTATTTGGCATTAATCATCCTAAAAAAATGTGATTTCCATAGAGAAATAATTTATCATCTCTGTATTTCTTTAATATTTCTGGAATGATTTGTTAAACACTGCTCTCCAAAAGTAAAACAGTACATCATGTTCTGACTGTACCCAAAGTTCTTCCCTAACCAGAAGTTCAGATGCTTAGTGTCTGTATTATTCCTCAAAAAAACCCAAACAGACATTACTACAGAGAAAGATGCTCTTGGACTACCTGAGTACTCACGAGCTCAGAACAAGTTTGTATTTAATAGCAAAATCAGTTCAAAAAAGTTTTGTTCCTTTTCTTCTGTATGAGACAGGTTCTTCCAAAAATCAGATGGGAAAGTTGGAATGAATTACAACCACTCTCCTGCCTTCAAGTGCTAAACCCTGCTGGGCTCTACTGCAGTAGGTAACATGATGACATTAGAAGGATTTTATGAAAGCTTTACCATGATTCTGTAAGCATTTATGTGGGTGTGTTTGGGTTTGTTTGTTGAACAGGTGTTCCTAGACAATATTAGCCACTCTGTACTCCTTCATGGTTTACCTACAGATAGTCCAAAAGTCCAAGTGTAAAGTCTCTTATTTAAATTCTCCAGGACCAACAGAGAAAGCTCTTCTCAAAAGCAAGATGCAAGCTCAAATTTTAGCTATTTACTGCTGATCATATCAGCTGTTACAGAGCTTAAAGAAGTATGACACTAAACAGGGTCTCCAGTTTGCATTCTAGGCAACAGAGCATGTGCAAACTCCTGCTAACAAGGGCATCTAAAATAAACTGGGTCAGTCACACCTTGAAATGTCTCTACATTGTACTGCCTTGTAGTAAAGTTTAAGCTGTCCAAAGATTAATTTCACCATATCAGTGATCAGAGTCCATGAATTGCCAGCACCTTGGTTATTCAAGGTGAATTTTATTCAAGGTGAAAGTCCCCTTTACTTCAACCTCTGATTTACTACGGGACACTACTGAACAGAACCAGCTACCCTGACTAGTACCTACAGCCCCATTTTCTCTAAGCTGGAGAGAAAGTTTTGAAAAGTCAGCTAATCAAAAGAAACAAACAGAAACAAGATTAACAGGAGGTGCTCTGGAGCCCTTCAGAAGAGAAGCACCCAGGATTCAAGCACCCCACAATCATTTCAGGAGTATTTTCAAACTGAAGATGCAGATTAACCTTAACCAAGGGAATGTCTAGAAGACATTTATAAACACACAAAAGTGAGAATGACAACAGAGAATATATCAAAGCATTACTGCTAGGTGACCAACAGACAGCTATAATGCAGACATTAATGAAAAAGAGATGTGATTCTGTAAAGGACATCACCTACCACACTGTGTATTCTGGAGATTGAGATGCTTTTACCTAAGTGGACATATTTATTTCAATTACTGTAACTGCATTTTAGCTAGGTAAACATTTTATGTTTACTGGATGAAGACATGAATTTTGTTCAATAATTCCAAATCACTGACGCATTTTTATGTTTACTGGATGAAGACATGAACTTTGTTCAATAATTCCAAATCACTGACACACGTAGTAATGTGCAAACATAGTAAGAAATTCAAATAAATAATACAAGAGGGTAAATTTTATTTCATCACTGAATGCCCTCCTGAAGAAAACTATACTTTAAAAGATACTAGCAAGGCAAAAGAATTTTAAATGTCCACTCCTTTCCCAAACAGTAGCTCTTACCTGTGACTGGTAACTACCTCCAACTGATTGTTTTCGTTTTGTTCTACTTCAGCAGAACCAGCTCAGTATTACCATTTTACAACAAACCCCAGTTTTATATGAAAAGCAGCAGCAGTGTTAGTCAAATACACTTAGTTCTGCTAACTATACAATTCCATACAAAAAGGAAGTTAATCCGAGTATTCCAGTGACTTTGTGTTTGACCAGACATGTAAAAAAATCCTCCAAGACAAACTTACACTTTGTCCTGCCGTCCTCCCCCTCCACGCAGTGCAACTGGCTGGCTGTTCTGAGTGAATGCACCTCCACCACGAATTGCACTTGGATGAGTTGGAGAAGCTGCTGGATGCTGGCCAGGACGGATAGGCTTAGCTGCATGCAAAGAAACATCACTTACAAATCCATACACCACAGCTGTACCTTGGATTATTCAAATTTACTGATGCTTTCTTTTACATTACCCCAAATGTAATAACAAAAATTGACTGCACTTTGAATAAGAAAACAAGTTTAGGGGATGGGATTCTGAGAACACAACACATTAATGTCAACTACAACAAGCCCTGAAAAATAGACAAGGCTTTTCTTTTATTGTCCCTACTAGAACTAAAGCTCACAAGGCTTCTGATAGTCATTATCTTTAGATGTATTAGGTACCCCACCTAAGGTATATCCCTGTGAGAGTCCTAGTTTTTGGCAATAAGTACTGAAATAAGACACAACACTTGACAGTTTCATGTTCCTGTAAGGAATCATTAGACTTGCTGTGCTTCCCACATCCACTTGATTGATAAGGCACTGGGTACTCTGCTCTGCAAGCAGTTCTGCCTAGAGATTACTCCACAGAGAACACTGCTACCACCACATCCAAATAAAACTTGCTCTACAACCAAATAAAAACTCCAGCAGTTTTGAAACATCTCTCACAGACTGCATACACTTCAACTAAAACTGTATTTTCACTCAGTTTTGTGTCAGCTCTCAGCAGAACAGGCACAATGGTGTGACTGCACAAAGTTCTGCAGTGTTCACCTGAAGCATCCTCTTGGAGACCACATGAGAGAAGGCAAGACTGAAAAGAACCTATCTGCCAGCTGCCACTTGAAGTGACCAAGAGAAAAAATAACTATTCTGCAATGGCTCTTTGCAGACATACAGAATATGAGCAAAGTTTAACTGCAACACTAAAATCAGTTGCATTAGCATTTAAGAGAAGTGTATGAATTACTGAAATCCTTTAGTTCTACAACTATAATGTAATATGCACAGTTAAGTCCTCCACAGGTGACACATCTGCTAGGTCCTTAGCACTTGACAGCATAATGGCAGGTGGAGGACCAAGGGGATAGGACTGTCTTCCCACCCCTTTCTGTTTACCCATTATTTTTCCCTAGAGAGGGCCGTGAAGCACTGTATGTTTTGGAACAATGAACTGAAAAGGCAATAAGGGATCTTAGGATGTTGTGGGGTTTTGTCTGCCCCTCTTCCCAACAAGATCAAGATACAGCAAGCCAATTTTTTTTTGTCACTGAAGGTGATGGTTTGAAATACCTACTTAGTCTTAGAAATTGGATTGGAACTGGAATGACCTCACAGACTACAACTTGCATTCAGTGTATTGTTTTGTTGTAGGAAATGCAACACACATTTAGGCTAGAATTCTAGGTTGGTAAGCCTTTCCTCCCAGAGCCATTTAAAATAAATGAAAGGCCAACCAACCACACAGCACCACCCACACATACACTTACAGTCTGTTAACCAAAATAGAACTCATGGTAGAAAATATATCACATTCCCACATGCAGTTCCAACAAGGGCTGGAAGAAGTGCACATGTACAAAGATAAAAGAAGAAAGGAGGCAGATGAAGCTTCAGGGGGCAAGGGATTCTTTACTAACCAATTTGTGCAGAATGTCCTCTTCTGGCCATGTTCTTGGATCTGACAGCTTCCTTTATACGATCCACTTCTTGCTGATACCGTTTGCGATCCCGAGAAGCATTCTCTTTGGCTTCCTTCAGGGCAGACTCCAAAGCTTTAACTCTTTCAGCTGTAGCTCTAAGTCTCTTCTCCAGTTTAGGAAGTTCACAGCGAAGATCAGCATTATCACGTACCAGCTACAAAACCACAACGGGTTATTTCTTGCTGCCCCTGTTTATAGGGAGAGCTAACCAAATACCCTTCCAGCCCTAAACAGGCAAAGCAATAGGGCTACTATATTAACTTTGCTTAAGGTTTTAGTAAATCTAGAGTTCATCAGTCAGACTGTAATTTGAAAAATCAGTCGCTGTGGAAGAACCTGCTACCCAACATAGGCACTTCTACATTCTTCTTCCATCAGAGACAGGCAAGTATCCTCTAGACTATACTAACACTAACCTGGATCTTCATTTTAAATGCAGGTATTTTGTTACATACCCACGTGTACTTAAAACAGATAATTAATTTAACATTATAAAACAACAGACTAAAGCTTCCCTGTATCAAGAGACACACAAGATGCAGAAGTATTTAATTATAAAACAGTTACTTTATGACCAGTAGGCAGTTGCTTCTACAATAATGAATCTTGAGCAGTTTCTTTTTAATTAAAAACTTGAAATGAAGTCTCACTGTACCTGCTTGTGAACCTTTGTAAGCTGTTCAAGATTATTCTCAAGGAAGGAAATCTTCTGTTTCTGTGCAGCACTGCCACCTGTGTCATCCGAGTCGATCTCAGCACTCTGCAGTAACAGAGACATGGGGAGGGAGACAGGAGGATGAGTACAAATCTGAACTTGCACATTAAGATCAAGCCAGAAAAATGACACCACAAACATCAATTCCTAATTTAGCTCTTTAATGAAATTCATGTAGCACTCTCAGAAACAAAGAGCACTTTACCTTCTTCACCCTAGTAGCCAGGTCCTGAACAAACAGCTTCCGAAGGTTATGAAGAGTCTGAAGCTCTTTTGCCTACAGTTAAGGACAAGGAATTAACAAAACAACACAACACAATGCAAACAAACTCTGAAAGACAAAAAAAAAAAAAAAAAAAGAGGGGGGGCAAATATTGACATTTGCTTTGGAATATATTTTGATTATCTTACCACAGTCTCTTCCAGACCCTTCAAATCTTGTCTCGCCTGTTCCCGTCTGTCCTGCATAACCCTGAAAGAGAATAAATTCATCCTGAAACAACACACCAAAACTGGAAATTTTAATGTTTTAGGAGATCAGAGTAATAAACACTGTATGGTACAACTGAAGAATGTCTTTCAGTTGAGGTCCTAAACTAAAGAAGTAACCAACTACACTCCGAAATCTGTATGGGGTAGGGTGGGAGTGGGAGACTAGCAGGGAGAAAAGGAAGTATTTTGATATTGAAGAAATATACAAACAAGTATTCAGATGCATAAATTATAAAAGATTCTGGAATAGTAAAAGAAACTCTCAGAGTCAGGTTCAGAGTGAATATTTGGAGAGATCTTATCCTGCAAATGTTCTTAGCTCTGACCAGCTGAGATAAGTATCAGGCGACAGATTAAGGAATTTTTTTCTCTGCTTTGTTCTAAGACCTCACCTTCAGCACATCTGCCAAAGCCAACATCATTACTGTTAGGTGACAGCACCATAAACAACAACCCCAGTGTACAGGAATATAACCTCCTGATAATCACTGTACAGAGCTGCTGTCTGCCCATTGTCCTGGGTTGCAGTGTGTGGGTATCCATGGTATGTATTCCATTATCATCTCCACAAGCTGTTAAAGCAGGTGGGGCAGTGATCACCTTCTCCCTCCCTCAGGGCAATCCTGATGGCTCCCTCAGGGGCTGTCTCTGATTAAGGGGCTGTCAGGGACCCATGCATGGCACATCCTCCCAGTGATCCTTATCCCTTGTCCCATGGTGAGGGGACTCACCCCAGGGCTGGGGAGCCAAACATGCTCACAGGGATATCAGCTGGGGTTTGGACCAGCACAGGGAGCCCTTTGCCTGCTGGATTCCCAGAGGACAGGAGCTGCTGCTGGACCTTCAGGAGAGAACCAGATCTGCAGGATCACTGCTCCAACAAACCCATCACTCCAGGAGGACTGCAGCACCATTCAATGGGACCACTACTACACCCTGACTGACAGGGGGTCAGGTTACTTTCTGACTCTGTCAGGTTATTTTCTGACTCTGTCAGGTTATTTTTTTTTGTACTGTTGCATTTGTGTTGTTTTGTTGTGCTGTTCATATTAAATTGTACTCCTGACTCAGAGTCTCTCACCGGGGTTTGCTTTTCAAACCAGCACACCCATGCAACATGAAAGCATTTTCTGCATGAGCAATGTTCTCTTGGAGTTGTAAGACACTGCAGTTCCTGAGATGACAGAATACAGGAAAGGAACATGGACTTTTCTTTTTATGAGCCAAGGCTGGAATAGGAAGGCCAGGGACTGCAGGACAGTTACACAACAATAAATTTTAAAAATGTAATTAATAATCTGCATTGTTTCTGGTCTGTCATTTGCCATGTACACTTATGGCATACAATGGAGAGTCACTGGATTCAAAAAGGCTGGGGAAGGACACAATTCCAAACTAATTTTTAAAGCTTCTTTGCAAATCTTTTGAAGAGGAACGTTTGTAACACAGCAAGTGCTTTTTAGTGATAAATGCTAGGTAATAGTTTAGCCTGCAAACTGAAATAGGAAGCAAGATGGGGTACACATACCAAAGATAAGAACCTCTTGCAGTTAACATAATGGATTCACAAGGCCAGAGTACTGCTAAAATTTGAGTCAGTTATACCAACACTGTATTTCACAGTAAGGCCAAATGAAGAAAAAGTAAGCACTGTTTATTATTACCAGTATAGACTAATCAGGTGTCTCTGATTATTTCAAGTTCTATGATAAAAACTCTGAGAAGCACTGTGTGTGTTAAACACAGCCAAAATCCACTTCTCAAATAGTTTTAAGTACAATGTATTTTTAGCTTCTGTAAAGATAAATTCGTATGTGCCAAAAAGGTGTTGCTACTGATACTCTAGAAACCTTTCCAGGAGACTATAGTCAGATTTCTAAAGGCTAAGAATGGTTTTCCAGCTCGACTCTTAGATACTTATCTGCAAGCACAATTCACTTCCAATTTTTGCAGCCTCTAATTCACCAATACATTGTATTTAGTTAATCAATGAACTGCAACCGTTTAAGAATAAGGCAGTTAGACTCACCTAACTGGTTAAATTGAATAAGAACCCAAAAATAGAGTAAGGGAACACAACCAGAAAAAGAGTAAAGGAACTGTGACAAGCCTCTTCCAGAGCATGCAATACTTAGCTGCAAATAGCAAAGTTGCTCCAACCCACAGCATAAGAACAAAGAAATAGTTGTGGCCTTCATATCTCACATTTTTACCTCCAATCTTAAATATTCAGGCAGGGCAAAGGTTTTAAGTTCAAGAGCCTGGAGCCTCTCTCTTTAACAGGCATCTGACTATACAGTGAGAGCCACTTCATCATATTAGGCCCCTAGTTTATAGAGTAAGTGTTCCCACACACTTCATGCACCATTATCACTTACGTAAGTTCATGCAGTTTTCTACTCTTTTCCTGATCAGTCGCTTTCAACTTCTCATGCTCAACTCTAAGACGTTCCTGTTCAAGCATCATCTTCTGGTTTTGGCTGAGCACAGAAAGAAAATATTTTACCAACAGAAACTGTCAGACACCATGCCTAGTAATGCAGCACAAGACAGAAAGCCACTGCTGGAGGAAACCCTCACCACTTCCTTTCCATCATGCTGTGCTCCTGTACCACACAGTCCAGAGATATGTGGCATTACTAAAACAGTGACAGTTACTTACTCTTGAAGTTCAGTGATAAGCTTCTCCTTTGCATCAACTTCATCTCTTAGGCTACTGATTTGTTTCTGATGTGTCTCACGATGGCTCTGAATCTGCTGCTCCACAGCTTGCTGTTAGATAAAACCAGAATGTATGATATGCTTTGAGCTGCTGTCAGACCTCACGTTGTGGGGATTTGGGTTTTGGTGGGTTTTTTGGAGGGGGCTGGTTTATTTTGTCTTTTAGACAATGAAATTAACTTACCTTGACTTCATTTGCAGTTTGAACCTTATTTAAATGTTCTTTCTCCATCTCATGGACTTTTTCTATTAGGGATAGAGGAGACAAAACACACTTCAGCCATGGAACTAGGCAATCACATGGATGACAGAGCTCATTTCCTCTTCCACTGCCAACATGTTGAAATTTGGAGGAAGTCCCCTCCCACCATAAAGATCAATTGAATCAGTAACATCTATCCTATCCATAGCAGTTCTTTCAAACAACAAACATTTTTCCACTGATTAATCCTACATGTTCAGTAGCAAACCCCATTCCATAGCTCTGCCTTTCAACCTAAGCAGAACAGAACAATTCCCTGTTTATCACCATATACTTGAAATGGTGGTGGTGGGTGTGGTGTAAGGAGGCAAGTCCTACCCTGTGCTCGGAGTTGAACTAATTCTTCGTTAAGGGAATCCACAGATTCTTCCAGCTGCCTCTTCTTCTGTTCCACATTCTGAAGATATTCAGTCAATGACTTGATCTTGGCTTCATGCTTGTGGAATGAAAAGATTCATTTACTTTGGAACTAGGTATCATGGGATTACATCCACATAAACAGCTCATACTTATTTTTAAACAAGTAACCTGACCTCAAAAAAAATGGTGCCAACTAAACTTGAAGAAGAATATGGCTACTAAAGTAGATCTGCAATGTAGCCTGTATAACAATGTATTTATTCTGGATTGGAAAGAAATACATTTTTGGCTGTGAGATATATTTTGAATATTAAACACTATCAGAGGCCAGAGAGGTACACTGTATTTAGAAGATTGCACTGAAATGTGCATCTCCTGATTAAAAAAACCACGACCATCTGTATGTAAAAGAAAATATAGAAATATTAAATTGCATCACGATTTTCACAATATCACAGAATCAGCTTGGTTGGAAGGGAGCACAAGGGGTCAGCTGGCCCAACCTCCCTGCTCAAGCAGGGCCATCCTAGAGCATATGGCTCAGGATTTCTTCCAGATGGCTCTTGAATACCTCCAGTGAGGGAGAACCCATAACCTCTCTGGGCAATCTGTTTCAGAAGTATTAGAAGTCACATTCCTGACATTTTCCAACAATCACATTCAAATGGCCTTTCTCACATTAGAAGTAAATTTAACCTGCCATGCAAGCCTCCTGTAACTGTACTGTGCTGTTACTACCTCTCCCACTTCCAACTTGCAGCATTAGTAGGCAGAGTGCTCACTAGCCACTGCTTCTGTAAGACTTTGATTTCCAAAGGATCCTGTGATGGAGAACACACAGACTCTAGTATGTAATACAAGTGCTACCAAAGCATTATCAGACTACAAATGTTTTGCAGAAATTGCTAAACATCCAAACCAGAGTACTGAAGGAACAGCCAAGTCTTGTGGCTGTTCATTCACAATGTTCTGTGTTAGGTGTCACAAAGAAACTGAAACTTTTTTTTGCCCAGCAGGTTAATTAATTTAATTGGTAAGTACAGGAAGTAGACTGTAAGGAAATACTTACCTGTGAGATACGGAGCTGGCAGGCAGCCAATTCCTTTTCATTTTCTTCCATCTTCTTGTTGCTTTCAGCCTGTGTGCCTTCCAGCTGTTTGCAACGTTTTACCATTGTTTTTACTTCTGATTTCATTTTGCTAATGTACAGTCTTGCAACTGTAAATTCTTCATCTATCATGCCAGTTCCCTCAGGCTGCTGAAAAGTGTGGAATGGCACATTTAGAAAGCTCAGATAACAAAACTGAACTAAAGGTGCACTGGGGCAACTTAATGCCCAGAACACATCCCCCAACCCAACTGATAAGCATGGCACATTAAAAAAATCCCCCTACATTTTGGTGTTTCAGTTTTCTGACTGATTATTCAGAAGTTTGCACTAAGGTAATGAATCACTTGAAGAGGGAAATACATTTCACTACACATTTCTAATACTGCTCAGATTATTGCCCTACATACAGTGATCTGGATTTATCTTTTATTTCATTCCCTTATTCTATTTTTAATGTAGCATCCTGATTGTCACTGGAAGTCAGTATTAGATTTCCAAGAAAATGCTGTTGATTAAGACCACTTCATATAGCAGTTAAACAACATGAATGAAAACTGCTTCAGGAAAAAAAAAATCATGTCTGATCTTCCTTGTCTTTGCATAATCAAATTCTGCCTGGGATGTGATTAAGTCACAGTATAAACCATGGACAAGCTTATGCCCAAATTATTAATATACATGAGGCTTCCTACAGTGGTATTTTTTACCATACTAAGAAAATTACCCCACCCATCCACAACGGATGTGGTTTAATACTTGGCATTAAAAGACAGCACCTATTAATCCTTACCTTGACATCATTATTTCCTACTGCAATTCCTATCTCTGCAAGGTCTTTCAGTAAGGAGGCCATCATCTCTGTGGCTCGTTTCTTCTGATGGCTGGTCATTTCCTTAAGTTTCTGAAGCTCTGCATCTATACTGGCTAAAGTGACCTGCAGTAAAATAAACAAAACACACTCTTACTTTTGGAACCAGTTGCATACCATTTACAGAGTGACAGTTACTTGTTCTGAGAGAACTAAAAAAGTACTGAAGACACAGATCTTCAGCTCACAAAATATACTCTTACAACCCTGCAACAAAATTAGTGTCAACTTTGTTAAACAGCATTTGGAGTTACATACAACGAAATGTTGCAGAGAATTGCATTTCTAGAAAAAAAGGTGTACGAACAGCAAGACCTACACGCTTCACTACACTTTGATAAAGGAAAGCAGTTTCAGCTTTGCCTTGACTCTTCCCTACTTGCAAAGCAAAAAAGAAATGGCACCCAGTACTGAGAGCTCATAAGCACAACACTTGCTCTAGAACAGTTTCTCAGCTGGTTTGAGCTGCTGTGGTTGTAATGGCTGCAGCTCAGCAGCTCCCATGCTGAAAAGTCTGCTCTTTGTTCTCCAGTTTTTAAAAAATGCCTGAAGTTTTACAGCAGGAAAGTTTCAGGCAGAGATGCCAAAGGATGGTTAGTGCATGGGTTAGCTGTGACAGATTGGGAACATAGAAATGTCTTAACTTTATGACACCTCAGAACAGCTGCTCTCTTGCAGATTGAGTTATTCATGGCACTCAGTGGATGCTAGCTATACATCTAGAATCACTATCTATAAAACGACTAAAACCAACACCAACAAGGCAAACAAACAAAAAAACAGGAAAAAAACCACCACACATTTCAGAATCATACACACACACAGTCAGCTGACTCCACACAATCCCACACATTTCAGAATCATACACACACAGAGTCAGCTGACTCCACCCAATTTGAGGTTCTCTGACTTTCAGCCCACCATAAAGTGATGTAAGTTACCAATAAAGATGCTCAAATACTTAGAAGTTTAAATAAAACTTTCATGATCTTGTCAACTTCAGTTTTAGTGTCTGTGTTCCATCCAGTCAAATCTTACTACCTGAAAGCCACGTTCCCTAGAAGACCCAGAGTCACTCAGTTTTCATCTTCAAGAAGAGAGAAGAATGCGATTTGTGCCATTCCATGTTGATTGCAATGCCAGCAAACATACTGATCCTTGCCAGTATTTATAATTTTGGGATAGTGGGCAGAGTATTAACTGTTTCAAACTGACTGAAGTCTGCCAAATAACTGCCTACCAAAACTGTCAGTCAACTCAAACTTTGCAGGGATGTAAGGAAGTGTATTCATCCTGTGGGATGGATGCTGTATTTTCAACCAAGGCTATGTCTTGGAATATGTCCTCAGTGTTCTCAACAACTCCTTCCACAAAGTAAACCAAACTGCTTGATTTTGGAGGCATCGAGCTAAGTAATTTCACATGCCATAAAGACAGCATGCAAATACACATTCCTTTCAAGAAAAGCTGTAGCATGCTCAGTGCAATTTCACAATTGGAAGAAGCAGCTTCTTAAGTCAGGATTACCTCAACTGCACCAGAAAGACAAAACCAAGTCAAATTACCAGCATGGAATCAAAGTGTTAACTTTTGACATCTAGGATATTTCTGAGCACTCTTTGGGTAGTAAAATGCCACAGGCACTAAAAAGACAAGCGCTGTCAAGGTCAATATTCACTGTGCATTCTTCTAAAGCTTACTGCTTTTAGAAAATCATCCCCTGCTAAAACTAAGTAAGTTTTAGACTCAGGCTCTCATCTTCCCTTGTGAAAAAACCTTGAAATGACTTCAAGCAAGAAATATGGGTAAGGCAAGAAAAGCCACATTGAAGACTATCAGTAATTTCTTAATCCAATTTCATACCGATTTTTGATTGAGTTCATCACTAAGCAGTTCATATTCCTTTGCCTTATCTTCTACTTCCTGAGACTTCTGGTCATAATTGACAGCTAATTCTTCAAGGGCTTGTAACACCTCTTTCACTTCCTCTTTAGATGCATCATTTTCAGCCTGAAGACGATTCAGCTCTGCTTGCAGGTTGTCTTGGTCCCGTCTGGTTGATGCTAAAAGCTGCAACATTAATAGAGACTTAATAAGACTACACAACAAATTACCATGATGAAAATTCCATGTATAACTTGGATTTTATGAATGCTTTTAGCCACTACAATAGCTTATATGTACATTTTTAGTGACTAGCATCAGGCATAAGGATGCTAAGGACAGGTACAGTGAGAATATAGTGAACAACTAAATTTAGCACCTGTATTCATAGTTCTTTAGCTTTTAAAGTACCTTCAAAATGAAGTGATTACAAACCAAGACACACAGAGATAGCAACTGGAAATGCACGTGGAATACAGTGAGTTCTCAGAAAAGCCACTGAATACTACTCATGAGTCTGAAACTGTCAACAGGTTAAGGGACTAAACTTTCAGCATTTTAACACTGCTAGCTGCTGAAGAACAACTAGCCAAAGCTAAAGTACAGTTGCTAAAGAAGCAGATTTATTTATTTAAATAAGATTAAACAGTAGCTCCAACTTCCCAAGTCCTCGACCCAGTACAGTTGCTAAAGAAGCAGATTTATTTATTTAAATAAGATTAAACAGTAGCTCCAACTTCCCAGGTCCTCGACCCATCTTCTTCTTACCATGTACACAAGGATTACTATGTTTTTAATCTCTGTGCTACAGAGAAATAATTTTTCTAATATCTTGGCTAAATTAAATTCACATTTTCAATATTACCAGGCATTTTCCCCCCATTTAACTAAGTTTTGCCTCTGGCAACATGTGCAAACAAATCATTTGAGTACTCTAGCAAGCATGGTCTGAATTACTGCATAGACACTTCCTTTTTCATTATGGGTCAATACATTTCCCTCCTCTTTCCTCTCTCTCTCTCTACAGCAACTGACCAAAAGAAAACCTTAGAACAGGTTTCTTACAGCAAATCAAGTTACTTTCAGTTTTGACAAACTGTTAACCTTGCATGGGGAAGACAACTGCTGAAGTCTTTGCATAAAATACTTCAGTTCTTTCAGTCTTCATGGATAATTAACATTCAAGTAAACTGGTTTAAGTTTAACCATTAGCATAGTGTAAGTGGGAGGAATGAACAGGCAGAGAATTTAGATAAGGCACGAAAGACAACTATTGCACAGTAGTGAGCTGTCATTCCACTCCCTGGTCATAAACTGTGACCTATTCAGAACACCTCAAATTTCTTTAAAGGAAAGACAAATAAAGATGCAAGAGCAAAACTCACCTCTTCCTGATCCAACATTTGTGTTTTCAGTTTTTCTACTAGTTGGCTCTGCTGATTAATTTCTTCATCCTGAAGTTGAAATTAAGACTGTGTTCATTAAACTGACAAACACAACTCAGAAAAATAATCTAAGAAACAGTAGATGTTAGGCATCTAACCTTTCCATGTTCTGAGACAATTACACGACCAAAAAAAATAGAAGTAAAAAATTATCCTTTTAATTTCACTGGCCAATCCATTAGGCTTTTAACCTGGCATGTACATGTAACACAGCATGCTTCAAAGACACAAGCCTTATATTTGTGCTTTTGCAAGTCTTCTCCAAGTTGTTTTAAATTGCAAGAAACAATCAAGACTTTTTTTCCTTTCCAGACATAGTCCTACTGCCTAAGTATGATATTATATTCAAATAAAATATGCATAATACGGAATGAAAAAATTGCTGTCTTCAAATTACTCACTTTCCCACTTTCTCCTAGTTTTCCAACTAAGAAAGGATACTCAGGCACCAGATAAGGCCATTTTGATTTCTCTTAATCAGAGCTTCAGAACTAAGAGTAGGCACTCCTGGCAAATACTTAAACAAGTTGAGCTAACAAATGAATACTGCAAATTAAATACATAATAATACAGCTCAAGATATATATTTTCAAGAGGTGTTATATTAAATAAGAATGGCATACCTTGTCATCCAGTTGTTTGTATAGTTTGGCAATTTCTTCCTCACATTTCCTTCTCTCGGCATCAGTGAAATTGCCAGTTACTCCAATGGTGGTAGCTGGTTTATCATTAATAACAGTAATATCCTTGTCCACTGCAAAAGCTTCCAAGTTGGCCTTCTCCTTGTCAAACTGTTCATCAACTGGTACAGTCTCCCCTGAAAGAACACTTAGTTTTAGTACAGTTGGCCATGACAGATCTTCCACAAAGTTAGCCTTGAGAAGTAATATGTACTCCCTACCGACAGTATTGCTCCTTGATTAATAAGCAATTGAGTTCACATCATTAACTCAGCAAAAAAAATGACCACTAGATCATCCAAACTACTTCCTGCCTACCACAAAACATTGTATTTCACCCAGTTACTCTGCTATGAGCTCCAAATTACTCACACCTTACCTTGGAGAAAGTTACCTAACTTGCCCAGAAGGCAGGAAATCCTTTCTTTCCCTTGGCATTCTGTTTTGCTAGATGTCCATATTTACTTTTAAATTGCTTTGCTTCTAATTTAAAACACTTCTTCAGTAACACTGTTATCCTTTCACATTCATAAAGCTTTTTCTGAAAAGAACACTTTAACTCCACATAGGAAAAAATACCACATGCTAATCAAGCCACTTCCCTGGTACATTAAACTAAATTCCTTAGAGCTTCATTCAAAACATTTTATGCAGTCCTTAGAAGGTACAGGCTCTTTCCAACACTCCAGTATCTCATGTCAATATTCTGAAAGAACTATACTTAACATTTCAGGTGTGGCCTCATACCATCTTTATAAAAGAATGTAAAAAAACCCCCAAACCAGTGCCTCATACCATCTTTATAAAAGAATGTTAAAAAAACCCCAAACCAGTAAAAAAAAAAACCAAAAAACAAACCCACATCCTACTAAGCTTATTTTTTTTCAGATTTACATCAGGATGTGGTACAGTTGTCTAGAAGACTGCAAAACAGTCTTCTATAGCTGACAAACCAGAGAATAGGTCTGTAAGTATGGCCTGTGTTCCTCTTCTCCTGAATTTATGGCTTCATTACTAACTTGCATTTTGCCAGAAACTTCAATTGATCAGAAGTTAATTATTCAGGCACACATTCAGTACTGTCAGCAATTTTGGGGTTTGGGTGGGATTTTTTGCTGACTAACGTGTTTGAGTTTTAAATGAGGGCAAGATCTTGTGATATGGGTTTGAATCAGAAAACCATGCCAGAGGAAACATTTTACTCAGTTTCTGCACTTAAAATTAATATTGGGTTTCTTCTCCCCCAAAATAAAATTTTTATCCTGTATGTAACTCTAGCTCTGCTAGTAAAGCAAGTGTCAAACAACCCAACACCAATACACCTTCTGACATTTTTGCCATTATATGATTATCAGAAGTCGTTTCAGTTGCAATAAAGTGAAAAACACAGAGTTCCAAAGTCAATTTAATATCCTAGCTTTAATATTCTTATTACTGTCTTGCATAGTGCTCTTAGCTATTTTTAGTATCCTGAAGACTAACTCAGTGTGTGTTGTCTTGTCTAAAGATTGCAGAACAAAAATCTAATTGCTCCTCACCATTGCGCCATCTGTTGAGTTCATTTTCCAACCACTGAATGGTGTTACGCAGAGTCTTGTTTTTCTCTTTTTCCTTCTCATACTTTTTCTTCCACTGCTCTGCAGTGAGCTCCACATTGACACACACTGTGTTCTTAATGGTCTTTGCTCTGCACAGAAAAGGTTATGATATAAATTATCTACATCAGTGGTGAAAGCATAAACAATCTCACCTCTTCCAAATGCTAATTTCTACTTCCTGTCAGTTACTGGATTCAACTGGATTGATACAACTGTTAACAGAGAAATACAATAAACTCTCAGAAGGCTGAAAAATCTCCAGCTCGTTAAGCTGGAAAAATTCATCTGCAAATCTTCATCTGAAAGAATTCGAGACAGGACAGTTGTGCAAAGCTTCAAACAAAGGGTAGGTATTCACATCTAGCAACCATTTCTACAGTGGAGAGAATAATACTTTCAGGGTGTGAACCACCTAACTAATCCAAGAAACAGCTCCTTTCAACCAAAAAATCCAGCTACTAGAGCTCCACTAGCCAAAAAGGTGTTACAAGCTATTCAGACAACTGCAGATGTGATCATTTACAGTCAGGTGAATCCCAAACAATTAGTTCTGGAGACAAAACTACAGGCACTAATAACATATTCATGAAGTGAATGTATAGTTTTTAGTTTAGTGCCATACCTCACTCACCTCAGTGCTCTTCCTGTGTAGTCTCCTACTACCAAATATCCCACCCAAAGACCAGACTGGGAAAAAATGGCAATTAAAAATCCTGCCCTTCCCCACCCCCATATTACCTCCCTGCAAAGTCTTAGTGAAACAGATTACTACCAAAAGGCACATCATTTTCTGCAATGTTATGTGATATTTATATGGCCTTCAGTTGACAGGTGAGGATTTCAGCATAACACTCCTAGAAGCTTGAATTAATAGACTGGACTAACTATGGTGGCCGAGACAGGGATGTACTCTGTTAACTCCTGAAGAAGTCAAGAGCACAAGGCAGTGAAATTACATAGCTACAGCTGCAAGATACTTTCCAGTAGCTCATTCAAGAAATACTAAAAGAAAGGGAAAAGTCCTTCTAGGTTCTAAAAGGAGACCAAAAATCTTGACTGTTGCAGAATGCAGTCACTGGTCCACACTTACATTCATATGCTGCCAGATTTCTAAGTTCTGAAGTCACTGAGTCTACTTTCCATAAGACAAAACTTCTGAGAGAACACTAGTAGAAAACCATCTGGTTGACCTAAAGTGAAGAGCTGCACTAACCCAGAAGACCAGATGGACTATGAAAACACTGACTGCTTTCATAACGTGCTCTGGTAAATGCAGTGATTCAATCTAGTGGTCAGGAACTGGAGCACTACAATGAAGCATTAACCATACAATGG